AGACTGCTCTCACTGTAGTACTGGACCGCACCTTCTATGACCTGTGCTATCACAAAAACGTGGTGAAATGGAGGGAACCCAGAGCCAGTTATAAACTGCTCCTCAGAATTGATTGCACAATTTCATGTGTCCCTACTAGGCCTTCTGGAGGATGGGAAATCAGCTCAGACAGGTGTAACCACAGCATCAGCCACAGCTGGAACACTGAATGCTGAGAAGAAGAACAACTGTGGTGCTCAGTGTGCGAACCCCATGGTCCACAGCACGGGAGCTACGACGCAGAGACAGAACGGCTTCAGGGCAGCAGAGGTATGTTCCCTGATGCTCAGCACTAGCTTCAGCCAGGTTGAACCTATTTTTGTGACAGTCTTCCTCACTGCAGTCAAATTGTATTTAATGCCTTGAGAAATGAAAAAATGGCTGCACCACAGCCACGGCAGGATTGAGCCTAGCACCTCTGACCACGCCTCAGTGGCCACAAAATTGATGTTTTATTCGTCAATCAGAGTAAAACACACACTTGTTACAGCAAAAAACCCCCGCATGCTTATTTTTCTCCAGCTATAGCATGTATTGTGCAAACTGTTTAGATTAATTATCTGAAAGGGAATGGGTTTTTCCTTAGCTGCTGTTTTGCTTAAATTGTGTGCACTGCATGAATCCTGGTTCATTCAAGGCTGGATGAGAAGCCTGAAAAAAGTTAGTGAGAGTCTTTTCAATAACAGTAGGCTTTGGATCAGATCCTCACCCCTCCTCCCCTTCACCTGTATGTTGTGTATGTTGTAGAAGGATCATCCAGTGTAACAATGATGTATGAACACCCAAGGCTTTGGGGCATCTCCAGTCCTAGCTGCCTACCTGCCTGTCTCTCATAGGTTTCCACCAGCTGCCCTGTTTGGGTAGCAGCTGCTGAGCTGCTGCAGATTAAAATAATCCAAAAACTACACTTGATTACTGCTTCCTCGGTTTCTCAGACAGGAAGACCTCTCAGCACGGCATGTGGTGGAACTGCTGCACCCACCCCATAAGAAGTTGTTCCCTCTTGGGAATCACATCCTTGAGGGTGGCAAATTTAAACCCACGGGAGCTGAATAAATGAAAAAGGGAATTTGGGTTGAACTCTACCTTTGCTAGCAAACAACTCATTGGTACACGTGTGTTTAATTTATACCTTCACTGTATTATCTTCTGTACTGCTGTAATACAGAATATTCCCTGGAGATGTGGATCCTGCGGTACCTTTCCACAAGGTACTGCAGCTCCAGATGTATAGGGACACATTGTACAGCAGCATGACATCTAGAGCCATGGGCTTGCTGTAAATGAAAAACATAAATGCCTGTCAGCCACTAGCCCGCAGAGAAAAATTAATTGGTCACGTTGGATATGGTTGAACAGAACTAATTATTAAGCCAAATTGAAAAAGACTTGGCTACACTTGAGAGTTATAGTGTATACCTGTCATACTGTTGGAGAAAATTGTCTAATTTTGTAAGTGATTGAAAAATTACTTCTGTATTAGACTTCCTAGGAAGTATGGGCAGATTCCCACAACATATTAATAATGTGTTGACTGTAATGGGACTACTTCGTGAAGTGTGGATTCCTGACCTGGGGCCCTATGGCTTCGAATGTGTCCTCCTGCCTTTTACTAGCTAAGATATGTTCAGTAATGTATATCTGTACTGTTGCCACCCAGTGCAAAGAAAGTTTCCAATGATAGGTACGGCATTTACATTATTCTACCTGTCCAATGCAAGTGTCTAAGAAAGGAAGGTAAGTTGTCTAAACTTATAGCCAAAAAAGAAATGTATTTTCCTACAGTGAAAGTGTACTATCTAAGTTAGGCTCCAGCTCTGGTTTGCCATTCTGAATCTCTCTTTCTCCACTGACTGTTTAGGGAAGCTTAAGATGGGCAGGTTTCCAGTTTGGACACCGAAAGTTTATGTGCCTAGAGTTGAGAATGTGACTACCCCCCCAACTCAAAATGTGCCCATTTTATTAATCTGAATATTCACATTGACTATAGTTTTTCTTTTATCTCTACATGCTGTAGAATACAACACGATGCAGCACACGGTGTTTTCAGGAGACTGGGGTTCTGCCATCGGCCTCTGGGGTAGTAGGGGATAAACTGCTTTACCTCTCTTGTTCTTATTTTCTCAAGCATCAAGCTGTAACAACGCATCCTATTACCTTACGCCTACCATTGGTTATGTGACAGGGTACAATTTGTGGTGTCGAAAGGGAAAGGGTTTGACATGGGCTGCATCTGGGAAATGTTAGTGTCTTTTCATGAGGGTAATGTCAAAACAACTTGGAAGTAAAAGATGCTGCTGCTGAAAGGAATCCTGATACCAGTGAAGGCAACAGCACGGTCAGGCACCCCAAAAGCAAAGGTGGTATCCAGATTATGTTACTGACTGACAATAACCTGGTTTGATGTTCATGGTATGTGTAGTCTTTGGAGAGTCCTTGTGTGAATATGAGCGCTGGGGGAGTAGACAGAAAAGGAGCAGGAGTATTCAGGCTGCAGAACTGTGAAGTAATACACAGTGGCAAATAAACACCAGGTTTTGCTCTCAGATAAAGTACCTTCCATCATGTCAGTGTAAGCTTACCAGACATTATTCCACCTGGCATTGTTACCATGTAAATGATGCCTCATTTACCTGGCATTCTTTACAATTACAAATTGTCATGAAACACTGGAAATGCAATAATCAAACCCACCTAACTCAGCTCTGTGTCTCCATCAGCCTGGTTCTAAGTGTCCTTTGCTAGACTTACCCAGTTTACTACGCAGTACAGTGTGTTGCTTATGGCAACAAGCAGACAGACTAGGAGATGGAGAAGGATAAATTTAAATTAGGGATGTACTTGCATGCCTCAGACAGACTGACTTTTTTGAATATTTGGAAATAATCTGATGAAGCTCTGAAATGTATATATTGTACTCGCATCTTATATGCAGGCAGAACTGTGTTATTTTGAAACTGCATTTTCACTTAAGAAACATAAAATAGAGAAAATTCTGTCTCAGGCTAGTCACACTCAATTCCCAGTGACATCAAAAGGAACCTCTAATTTCCACTCCTGCTCTGAAACCAGATTTTAGAATACACACATGCAGAGATGATAATTGTAGCCAAGAGGATTGATCCAAAGTCTACTGACATCCACAGCCTTTATAGCAGGGATAAAAGCTTGTGTCCATAACGAATGAGAAAGCTGCTCCACACTACAGTACTGTGTGAAAAACACTGGTCCCTTTCTGTTTATTTAGAACTGTTTTCATAAATTAGGAGGTAACTGTCAATGACTCTTTGTGCTGTTGATGTGGAACTCACTGTACTGTTTAAAACTTTCACAGAGTAAATGGGACACACAGAAAATGTCCACAAAAGAAGTCACCATTAATGTTACAAAAAGCATCAGACAAAGTGACAGAAGGAAAACAAAGAATTGTGTCAATTAACGAAGGAAAGTGCAGGTGACGATAGACCTAACAATGCTTCACTGGGACTTTAAATGTCATCAGTCGCTGAAGATATGAAGATCTCCAGATGTTCTGTGTTGCCTACAGCAGGCAGCTACTGTGGAGTGCCTTCAGAAACATGTCGTGTAGAAAACAGCTGCAGACACTGTAGGATGTTCAGATGTCATTTGTCTAAAGCAGTGGCACTGCACAGACACACGCCAAAATTCGTGCCATTTGGTTTTTACTGAGTCCTATGTTATCTCCTTGTGTGTGTCCTGTTCTGCATTGCTATTGGGATGAGCCTGGATGATGAGAGGTACAGTTCATCGCAATTTAAAACAGGAAATGAACACATGAATCTACATTTTTATTCGTAAGGGGTTTCGAGCATGTACATTCAAACCCACAGAGTTCATTTAAAGCGCTTACTTCCATAAAACTCAAGACAGAAAAAAGACATGGGTGGCTTCCACTGAATCTCTTTTAAACTATATATATAAGTTATATATATATTTAAGTCATATAGTAACCTTTTTATATATTAATCTTTTAATTACTTAGTTTTAATTTATTTTCTGGATTGACAAAATTTAGGTCTTAAAACCAGTAACTTTCATATTGATCAGCCTTACTTGAAATTCCTAGTCTTAGCTGGCAGGTAGAGTTCTGGCTACTTGGTTATTTTGTACATGCCCCTTTAATTATGTTGAGGATGAGACTGAGTTGGAAAAAAGTGATCATTAACATTACATGAAAATAACCATAATTCCAAATTCCAATGACAGCTCCAAAAAGTTAACTTTTAATTGCTCAGATATCATTGATTTGCTGTGCAGAACCTATTTAATTGCATTGTTAACATCCACTTATCATAGTAGTCCATGTTTGTTGTAACTATACAGCTAAAAGGAATGTAAATGTTCAATGTAGTTAAGACCAAGAATTAATTCAACATATTACTTCTTAATATAGAAGTAATAATATATATTCTCTGTGAGTTTGCAAGTTTATGAAGATAAGAGGTACATTTATTTGCCTTCCCAACAGATACATATGAGTATCCTTAGAGGGCCATTTAAAATAACTGTTCAAAAGTTGTTCATTACAGATGGTGTTGGGAAGAAAATCCATATACAAACTATAAGAAATCCTTTTTACACGTAGGCAAATAAGTATAAATAGAATTGTGGGACTGAATCCTAATTTATTCCTTATTAGGATCATTTTAATAACTTGCTGCTAGGTGTGTGAGTAGTTAATACTTTCCTTGGAGTACAAGTCTATGCAATAGGGAATTATTTATTAATTATTCCGACACAAAAGCAGACGGAAATCCAGAGTCAGTGCGAGATTTTTGCATACAATAGCATTTGTATAAGAAATACTTATTTTAAAATGTCCTAAAAACGGGCAAAGGACTTGTGCTAAGCTTTCTGCAGGTCAGTGTGTTATCTGATCTTGTGCTGCATATTTACATAGAAGAACTAAAAAATATTGAAAATAGTGTTGTACGGGGAGGACAACAGCAGTCTCTGTATGTCCTTACAACTTGTGGCTTTCTGCCAACTTGCTGGCAACATTATAGGACAGGAAGGGACTTGACTCATTCTAACAATAAACAGTGGCAGTAGCAGCTCAGCAGCATTAATTTAGAGATGCATAGCCATTGTTGGTGGCCATGTACTGACCTAATTGAAAGCACATGTTCAGGATTCTGCATTATTTGTGTAGAGGCAGAAGATGAACCATTTCAGATCTGTGCCAGACTGGTAACCCACTCCTGTTTCAAAGGATTTACTGGCAGAGGGTGCAGTATAAACCCATGTGATACAGGACAGCTACAGAAAGTGATTAATGATGCTGGTGTGTGAAAGGGTAGAGGGGATTTTGAAGAAAGGCAAAAGGCAAGGTTCACTGTGTGAGAAGCTGTTCCACAGATAGTTGCCTTGAGTGGATACCACGTTAGGGTGACTAGATGCAAGGACAAAGGAGTCCTGGCAGTGAGATTATTTACTAGCTAAGAAATTATTTTGTAACGATGTGCTGATCAGATGCATCTGATGGCTTGGGTCTCCCAACAGAAGCAAGCCTGCGATGCTGCGTAACACATCGGTCTGAGAAACAGCCCTAGCTGCACATCAGTAGTCAGCAGGGAGGCTGTTTCTGAGTCTCGTGTCCAGAGCATGAGATGTGCCAGGAGGGTTCACAGGAGATGGCCTTGGTACATAATTATCAGGGCAATGCTACAGACCTTGCGTATGTTAACCACATGCCCCATCAGGGTGGCAGCTGTGGAGTGGTGAAGGCTGACTGCCCTGGATGACCCCTCTGTCTGCTCACAATAACTTTCCTGAGCTACTTCAAGATCCCATAAATCTGTTTATATCCTGAAACTTAACTTTAGGGCATTCAAAGACTGGATCCAACTTCTGTGGTACAAACCATGTCTACTTTCAAGCAACTTTATGAACTCATGTAACACATTACTGTTCTTATTCATTAGCTGGTAACTGAGAAGAAATTACATTATGTCTTAGGTGGCTTCTTAGTTCTTGATGCGTAAGCTCCCAATGACCTTAATAAAACTAAAAGCATTGGGGAGATGTGGATCCTGCCTCTGTACATAGGTAGGGTTATATTTACATTTTATTTATTTCTACTAGAGACAATCACCAGTAGAAACAATCAATTTGTTTACAAAATACTATACCACTATGTATAATTAAGGGTGACAGAATCTAGTCTATATGGCTTAGGACAATTTAAAGTCCTAAAACCAGATTCCTGTGCTGGTTTTAGTGGAAGAAGCAAGCTCAAAGAATCATCTGCACATCTTAACTCCAAGTGGCCTTCCTAGGAGTGAAGAGTCTTACTTACAGGGTCTTTTCTTCGAGTAACATCTTTCAAATATAAACAGCTGAAATACAAGAAATAAAATAACCATGTTAGAAGACATAGACTTTTAGATAAAGGACCTGTGGACATCTCTGTCTTCTTATATGACAGGATTTCTGAAATGTAATTTTCCCCCAAAAGATATTATGCCACTCAATTTGTTTGATGTCCCTTGGCTGCGCACGAGGATTTCTACAGCTACACTGAAACAACACGCTTTCTGATGGGATGATTTGCCATCATCTGGTCAGTTTTTACGATTTGCCTGAGTTCAAGTTGTAAACAGAAAGAAACTTACTTTGTTTGGTTTCCATAATTCCAATACAATGTATGGATAGGATTTTATTCTGATGTGTATATACATGTAAAATAAATTTTCTTCCACTGTGTGAGAAATGGACTCACTCAAAAGAAAGCGGACATTGGATAAAGAAGAGAGAGAATTTACAGTTACCAATAGACATCATTAGGCACAGTCATCTTCTCAAAGACTCGGTGCAATTTTATCTTTCAGTGTTCCTTCATCCTGCCCCTTATGCTTCCTTAATGTGCTTCATCATTGAGCCCTACATTTTAGGGCAACAAAGCTGGTGAAGGGTCTGGAGAACAGGTCGTATGAGGAGCAGCTGAGGGATCTGGGGTTGTTTTGCCTGGAGAAGGGGAGGCTGAAGGGAGACCTTATGGCTCTCTACAGCTACCTGAGAGGAGGTTGTAGTGAGGTGGGGGTCAATCTCTTCTCCCAAGTAACAAGTGACAGGACAAGAGGAAATGGCCTCACATTGCGCCAGGGAAGGTTTAGATTGGACATTAGGAAAAACTTCCTCACCAAAAGAGTGGTCAAACATTGGAAGAGGCTGCCCAGGGAAGTGGTGGAGTCACCATCCCTGGAGGTGTTCAAAAAACGTGTAGATGTGGCACTTCAGGACATGGTTTAGTGGGCATGGTGGTGTTAGGTCAATGGTTGGACTTGATGATCTCAGAGGCCTATTCCAACCTAATGATTATATGATTATGTGATCATTTCACCATTCCTGTAGGACATTGACTGGAAGACACACAATTTTACTGTGTAACAGAAATGATCTTGTACTAAAAAAAAGGAAATATAATTATTGTGTAAGCAATATATGAGTACTGGGTTAAACATGCATTCTTGTTAGCTACATGGCTGAGATCGCATACAAACAGAAAACAGATATTTTTGATCTTCCTAGTATGTTCATATACATATGTATTCATACATGCATGTCTCTGTGTGTGGACATTGTGATGTCTTCAGTGTGTACGCCTGCAGTTCAGGCATGGGTTTTTGCAAACCTTTTACTTGTATTTTTAATTATGACACCCAAGTGTAAAATATCTTAATGTTTGAAATGAAATTTGTTTTGCTTTCTTTATGAAAAGAATGAGCTATATAATTTGTGCACAGAAATGGTGTTTGAAAAGGCAGGCTTAGTTTTATTTGGAAATAATGAGTAATTATCTGAATCCTAATTCTAAAGACTAATAGGAGCATTTTTGTACTCTCATTTTATCTGCAAATTATTGAAGATTGATCTTGAACTTGAAAATGAAAATAAAGACAATTTTTAAATTGTCCGTTTATTACTTCATTTTAAAATCCTGTGTTTGTGGTTGATTTATCTTTTAAGAGCTAAGACCAAAGACTGTGAAGGTATAATGAATGGTTCCCACCTCCTTTCTTCATGGAATCAGAATATTTCTGTATCTGATGTCCTCAGGCTGTGGCTTATGGACTGTGTGGTCACATCAAAGAAGCTAAGATACATATATTCCCCATAAGAAATTGTTGTATTTGCCAAAGAGGGCTTATGAGGTCAAAATGAGAGGAATCTGTAATTATAAATAGGAGAGTTTGTGGTTGCTGTCATGGCTAAAGTGGAAGACACTGGGAATTCGAGACATTTTCTGTAGTAAGATATGATATTGTTGGCGGGAGAGAGGAAACCAAGAACTAAGAGTTACAGAGCCAGCTCAGAGTTGCCTCTATAAATACAAGTTTGGTAAATGCTGCAGTAATCCTTCCCCATTATTCAGCCTTGGGAAGGTCCCTGCTGAAGCACTCAGCTATTTCTGGTACT